TCCAATTAATTGCTGATGATGATCTGGAAATGCAGTCACTGAAGCTCAGACTCTCATTCATGTATTACGGCATTTAAACTAAAAAGGCAAGAAATCAATTCAGTTGTTTGTGCTGCAGTTGACTGAATAGTAATTGAGACACGGGATATTGAAAGGTCACAGTGACAAACATATCCAGAAAACTTCTTTAAAAATTATTTTTGCCAGTTTTAATTAAAATCTGGTTCATAATTGAATTATAACTTTTAATTCATATTTTAAACTTCCATGATCTGTGCACATCTTTACGTGCCCCACTCCCGGCAGCACAGGCGGCCGTGCCAGCCAAGGGCACCGTTTCCGTAGACTGGGCCACCACTTTGCGCTTGCTGCAGCCCCCACCTGCCTTCTTCAAATATTTTCCTTCCACTTGGTCCTTTCCTACATCCTGGACTAGAACATATCGACAGAAGGGGCCTTTTCACTTCCCATTTGTCTCCCTGGGAGCTTTCTCTTGTTATTAGGTTTCAGCAACTCAGAGGAGCCAGTCTAAGATCTGAAATGGGCTCCTGCCCAACCAGTTGCCATGGCTTGTTGCCCATCCCTGTTATTTGGATGGCCAAGGTGTTGTAGTATGGGCCCTGTCTGTCTTAGGATCTTGAACGTGGAGGGATTTTGCCGGTCTGATTCTGCTGCAGTAACCAACATGGTTTTGATGGGACACCACTTGTACCATTCCCCCAGGGGATGAGGTTGGCAGGGTCCTAGCTTGCTCTGGTGCTCACAGGATGCTCATTTTCTTAAAGAGGATAATACTATTATTGAAAGGATAGAAAGTTGGGAAAAGATAGACAGAAAATGGAATCAGAACAGAACACATTCATTGCTCAACTTTTTCAATGCATAATGAAAAGCATTTATATGAGATTAAATTTAAGCCTTGTGTGAGAGATACTGTACTTGCTTTCTGTTAGAGACTGTATTTTAGCCAAGCAGCTTTGCATTTTCTTAAAAAATATTCAAGTTGCTCAAATGCTGATATCTCCAAACCTGCCTCTCCTACAAGTTTTTTTTAATAGTCAGAAGACTCCTTCTCACATGCCAGTTTGCTTTCATTTTGAAATCCTCAGTTGTTGACTTGCTTCCTTTCTCTCGTTGTTTTGTTTTATTGCTTTGCCCTTCAACTGCCCTTCCCTACCACTTCTTATGATATTTGCTTCCATACAGAATGCTTCAGCACTGTTTGGTATTCCTCCTTGTAAAAGTAAAGTGCAAAACAAGGCAATTACAACAAAATAATTTGTTGTCACACTTTTTAAAGACTGTGCTGTTGAGGATAAAGACAGGCACTATCATGAATGTAAAGGGGTAAAAGTGGAAGAGATAAAACAAGCGCAACTTACCATGCAACAAATCTTTCCTTACTATGTGTGTGGTGATATATGTTCATGCAGACCTAATCATTTCTTTGTAAGAATTAAGGAAACCTCTTGACGTCTGAGTTCCTTTAGCCTAAATGTTCATATGTTTTCCAGGCTTTCTTTGCTCCCAAGCACTTAACTCCTCCCTAACCTTTTCTCTAACTATTCCTATGCTTTTCATGTACTATCTACCTGAGATCTTGTGCTAGATTCCCTCTTCTGTTTAGTATTTCATAAATCATTACGCAAATTCAAAGGAAAAAATAATAATTTTTCCTCTGTGCTCTTAAATTGAACTGTCTTCTTCCACAGGTTGGAAGGTCTCATTGACAGACACATGCAACCTAGCTGTACATTGTCTTCTTTCTGTTACTTCATTATATTCAGGAAAAAAAAAAAATCGAAATATTATTTAACCCTATTATCACAGCTAGATGAAGCAGTCTCCCCTTGTTTCCCTGTTCCTATGTTACACTCCTATGACTCACTTCCTAAGCCAGACACTGTCTCTTTGGTATCTTTTAGTTTTGCGTGCACTAATATGCATCCCTACACACATGTATTTCACACTTAGTTCTCTTAGGATCCAGAGGTCAGTGTGTGATAAACGATTCCCTAAAAGGTGGCAGAAGAGTAAAGGCTCAGATAAGTTTTTAATCTAAAAAAGGAAGAAATTGAGGAGAAATATAATTAATTTTAGATACAAAAAGTGTAGTTGCAATGAGAATTGGAGGAGCTCTTTTCCCTGGTCGTTGTAACTCAGACAAGAAATAGCATGTTTAACTTTGCAGCAATGGAGCTTAGAAATACACTCTTTTTTTGTAGCTGCACTAGTGAGGCACTGGAATAAATTGCCTTTTAAAAGTGTCGAGTCTCCAGAAAGGAGACTTGTAAGCACTGGTTAGAAAGCTGTTTCCCAGGACTAGCATGTTGTATGATGGTCACTGCTGGAGGAAAGCTTGTTGGGTTTATTCCTGTGTAGGAATGAAGATGGGGTACTATGAAAGGTAGTCAAAAGAAGTATCCAAAGAATCAGAAGAAGGGATAAAGGGAGAATCAGTGGTACCAAATTAATTATATAAATCAGTGACCATGTAAATTAAGATCAGTCTGTGTTTATTATGTGTGATTTTGGTTTATCTTTAGTGTTAAAAGACCTCAGGTGAACTATAGGATCTCTTCCTTAGAAATATCCTGCTGTATTCTGTTGCTGGTAGGAGGCTAAATGACTTTCACTTACTAAATCAGTGCTGCAGTTCTTGTATTTCTCTGTATGCTGTACTTGGTGAATTAGGAAGACCCAGTATATGTTCATATCAATGGACATATTGGATGAACTGAACATGTTCTGCAATCCATTTCATATAGCAGCTCTGCTAACCTGATCTAATAGTCCTTCCAGAGCATTGAATACATGTGAAGCATCTGGATTTGCTAAAAAAAAATGAGGCTAAACTGTAGATCATTATTCATAAAGCATGAAAGCAGTGTGTGGTGGGGCTAAACTGCCATCAGAAAAGTTATTCTTTTGCTTAAGATAACCTGTCCCCTTTTTTTGGGGAGATGGTGTTTGCCATTTAGATAGCACACACAAGCTGTAGGTTGGCATTTTTCAAGGGGAGAATTAGATAATTCTGTCTATGTGACTGCAAGCTAAGGCAGTTCTCAGGGCCTTGCCCTTTAACTTTTCCTATCACTCTATCAGAATGAAGAGCTGATCTAGCTCAGGTCTTTGACAGTAATCACGCGTGAGTGGTTTGGCCAAGATCTGATATTGCGCTTACTGCCAGGTCAGAGGGAGAGAAATCTTGAGGTCTTTTCATTTCTTGCATTTTCCCTGTGCAACCAAAAGACAGCTTAGTCAGTGCTGGACAAATGCCGTGATCTGACCAAGGGTTTATCCAAAACTAGAGCGCAAGAGAAACGTCTTGTTTCAGACAACGTGATGTGTTAGAGTTGTTTTTCAGGCTCTAGAATAACAGAAATCAGTGGAAGCCCTGCCATAGATTGCAGTGGTCAGGGCCTGGTCAGGGTCCATCCACTTGGCATCAGCCTTGCGGAAATCCTCGCACTGTTCCTGTGGTGCCATGGGTTGAGGTACTCGGGGAGGGGCCCTTTGGAACCAGCTCCAGTCACCCCATCACTTTTCTGGGCCAAAACTGAACAGTTCCTCTCCTACCAGGAACTTGAACACAACACTGGTTAAAGCGCTGATAAGGTTATGTCCAAGAGCTCCATTTTGCAGTTTCTGACGAAGACAACCAGGCAATTCCTCTGGACGGTGGCTGGCTCTTGCTGTGTGGCCTTTCAGCCAGAGAAGTGTCTGCTCTGTCTGAAGTGCAGTATGAGGAAGAGATCGGAAATAGGTGATACATTTGCCCTGTTGTTGCAGGGGCAGAGCTGAAGTGGCTGCAGTTTCAACTCGCTTTTGAACCCATGAGTTGGCATAACCGTGGCAGCTGCTTGTAGTTTAACAGAATCTTTTCAGTGTGCCTGGAGAACCAGAGGGTTAACCCAGCTTCACTTTTCAGAAGGGAGCTGCACCCGCTCGGCTTCACCTCCCTCTCACCGCCCCTGGGTGGGTTTCCCACGGCTTGCCCAGCCCCCCTGGCCCAGGCACCCCCGGCGGGGCGGTTGCGGGGGCAAAGGATGCCCGGGGAGGGGGCTGCACCGGTGCTGCGAGCGCGGAGTAGGGCTGCTCGCAGAGCCCTGCCGGTGCCGCACAGGGTAGGGGGAAGCAAACCACCGCCTCTCCCTGCTGCATTCATGGGGGCTTTTTCCTTTTCCTTGCAAAGCCTTTCCTCCAGGGCAGCTGAGGGCATCCTGGGGAGGGTGAATGAGCCCGGGAGGAAGGCGGGTGAGACCATCCCCTCTCCCTGCTGCTGTTGCTGAAGCGCTGCCGGAGCCGTCGATGTGGCTCCCCAGAGTTAGTTGCTCAGCAACCAGAATCAATTAATATGCTTTGCAGAAAGTGCAGGGGAAGCCCGAGCCGCTGTCAGCGAGAAGGCAGGAGGCTGAGGGTGACTCAGGATCCCACTCCCGCCTGACACCCATTCTATCCCACCCCATCCTCTCCAAACCCCCCGTTAGTCTTTATCCCTTTCTGCTTCTCTATGATGACTTAGTGCATGTACCCCAAAATCCTTCAGGCAAGGTATCTCCTTGCTCAAGAACTCTCCTGCTTCGAGGGTTTTGCGTTTAGATATAATTTGTATTTTGGTGTTATTTGTCAAGCGTTCTCCAACACTTTTCTAGAAATTCTAATATTCATGTCTTTTGGGAAGGGAAAGGAACAGCTGTTTTTGTCAGATGATTTTAAAGATTTCTCAGGATGAGAAGGGTTGTTTAGCAGTGCACAGCTGAGCAGCAGTAATGAAAATGCATCATGTGTGAATTGGGAAAGTTTTTGCCTCTTCCTTTATTACAAGTAATCAGCGCTGCATATATGAGACCAAAGAGGTAGTATTGATTGTTGTGAAACACAAAGACAATAGAATAAATGAGAGGTGGTTGGGTTTTTTCCTTCTTTTCTGCATTGTAATTTCAGGACTTTGGTAAGGTATTATTTTCTTTTTTTCTTTTCTTTCTTTGATTTTCTTTGGAGTCCCTCTGATGACACCACAAATCTGGGAATGAAGAACTTCTTGGAGCTGATTGGAAATGGCATTGCGAAGCTGAAACTTAACTGGAGGAAATATATCTCCTGAAGAAGAAAATATAATGCACTGTAAGGATCTGACTTCTGGTGAAAAATTCAAGCCTAGAGAAAACTTGTCCACTTTGTTAGGAAGAATGGGTTGGACAATTTTCTTCAATTCCAAAGGATATCTGAATGCCATGCTGAGCTTAATCTCTGCAGCATGCTCTGTGCTTCTCATCTCTTCCTGATGCACTGCATGGTAAGGCCTTTTTCCTTCCTTTTAATGATAACTGTATTTCTGTTATGGTAAGAGGTAAAAATAATAGCAATAATCAAATGAAAATTGAAAAAATGCAGAAAGCTAACAAAAGAGTGTTTGCTTGTATGGTTGTTTCCAGGGGCAAGTGTCCTGATTGCTGCAGCAGCTTTGTAAGATCGTTTCTTTTTCCCTTGCTTTGTGACAGTGTGTATGTGCGTGTGTGTGTGTTTGTGCACACCTGTGCTGTCATTTGTGCTTGGACTGGAACATCAATAGCTGCATTGTACATATTTCCACACCAAAGAAGATGCTTAAGAATTTGCTTTGACGTTTCTCTCTCTTTCTTCCTCCTTCCATTCCCCTCCTCCTGCCTCTCTCTCCCTCTCTGTCTCTCTGGGGTCATGGTGCTATACCTTCCCTGCACCTCAGTCGTGCACTGATGGCTAGAAGGCAAAAATAGAAGATGAAAGAAATCCTATACCAATGAAAGAATAGTTTTGAATAAGTATTATCTGAGTAAATAAAAGCTACAGAAGGGGTTTGAATGTCTGCAAGATCTGCAGATGTGAAAAATTCACTTTATTTTGTCTCCCATGGGAAACAAATATCAAATGCTGACTTGTGTGCTGTGTTTTAGATACGGTGGGAGACAGATCCTTTTACACACATCAGAAAGCCAAACAATGACCACTGTGAATTATGACATTGTTATTCTTGATGACCCAAGTCATAAAATAAGCAGACCTAGCACAAGATGTTCTCATATCAAGTAATTTTTGTGGTATATTAGAGGGGTATTGAGAATTATTATAAATGGCTTCAGTGGATGTTGCGAGATATTTTTCATTAACAGCTGTAATGTGCTTTCATCTGATGAAAGGTGCTAGGGGAGTACAAGGTGATGTTGTTAACTAACTACTCGACATACCAAAATTTAGGGTCATTACCAGGAAATTGCCAAGCAGATCAGGAATTACATAGTGAGCGTCCCGAGGTAGAAGAACGAGTCTTTTTTCCTGAAAGCCTGGTTTACTTGGGTCTTGGTTTCAGATATTAGGGTAGAACTAAAAGACGAAAGGGTGGTGATGTGAAATATATATATATTTTTTTGTGTTCTTGTTGATCACCCAGTTTGGAAGACGGAAAGTTGAGTGCCTCTTGACAGCAAACTGTGGCAAAGGCCTGTCCCCGCTGTGAGGGTAATCCCTTGCAAATATCTCTGCTTTTGATGGGGTTAGAAATGGACCAGGAGTGTGTTTCTGTGGTGGCTGTTGCAGGCTCTCCAGCTGGGTGTGGAGGTGACAGGGTCCTGGCAGCAGGTCTTGAGGGTGAGAGAGATGCAAAGAGCCAAAGTAAAAAGGCCAGGCCAGGCCACACCAGGACTCATGAACAAGAATCAGAACTTAAATCCTATTCAAAACTGGAAATTTTGTGGTAGTTCCCAATACATGTCCCCTTATGTGATGAAGGACTCCATAAGACAGTTTTCGGAGAGAGAATACTAATGCAGCCTTTTCAAATCACTGCAGTATGAGGAAACAGGAGATGATACAAACACATTTCTGTAGCGTGACAATTTTTTGATGGTGTTCAGAGGAACTAGCCTTGATTTTAGGAGTAAAGGTTTGAAATGTGCATACATGTGCATGGAAGTAGATTTTTTTTGTGTATTTTACCATCTAAAAGGTGTAACTAATATAAGCAGTAAGGAAAACTGAGGAAGGACAACACAACCCATAAATGTCATCTTCTGATCTTCACTGTTCAAAGAAGCTCTTAATTGTGGAAGTCGTCCCCTCAGCAATCTACGTGAGCAAGTACTGCATCCTAAATTCAAGTTTCCCACTGCAAATCTCTCCTCACATCAGCAGTTCTGTTTCAATCAATGGGACAACTCGTATGAGTAAGAACTACTCATGTGAATAAATTATGAAAGGTTTCGTAAGACTAGGCTCTTTGATTGTCATGGCAACAGATTTATTAGGCTTTGGGCACAATTTGAATTTCCCTTCTAAACAAAGTCATTTTTTCTTTTACTCGTGTGAATCTCTTTGCCTTGTAATTAGGAGAAGAGAAATAGGTTAATTACGTTCTTAAAGATCGTGCAACTGTACAGATACACTGTTAGTGAAGAATTATCAGAGTATGCAAAGGTTTACTTTTATTAGTGGTCTCCAAACCCAAGAGAAGTGTATTGTTACTGGAATCATTCATTACCTTATTTATTTTTGCGACAGTATTAACATTGCTACTTGGTATTGTCAATCCTTCTGGCAAATCATTAAAAATAAAAGAAGATTATTCTTTTAAAATATTGCTAATCTTATAAAAGTACTCACTGTTATTAAGTTCAAGGATACTTACTGGGCTTCATACTACATTAAATTCGTTCATTTTTTAGTTAATGCATGATGTTTAGCTCTTTATTTGATCCAGGAACATATTTATCTTCAGGGTATAGAAACACAATATGAAGCTGTAAGTAAACTCCCTACATAATATAGATACATTTTGAAATAGGATGCTTGAAATCATCTGAATTTTCATTCCCTGTGCAATTTTGCATGCTTATAAATGTCTATGTTATTAGGATATATATTTCATAACAAGTAGTATTTCCTTCATTGTAATTGTAAAGAGCAGTTCCTTTTCAGAATACAGTGTATAGGATTTATTTTTTTGTGCTAGGTTATGCATTCTGGAAGAAAGAAAAATATTAGAAAAAGCAGGCATAGCAACCCTTTAAATGTATTCAGTATATTAATGCACCAGTAGATTCATTTGCAACATGTAAGTAGCAAGAATAGTGGATTATTTTCTAAAGGATGTGTGATTTTGAGAGAGAAGGTTTTGCGTGATACAGGATGTCTTTTGTCTTTAGCGGACATTTCTGTCAATGATTTACTGTGACTTAGAAATCCTCCTGTAGTGACTTTTTAATAATTTACTTTAAACATTTGCACCACATCTGTATTTGGCTTTTTCTGTCAATTCTAAAGGAAGTAAAATTAGTAATTTCCTTTTCTTTTATGATTATATTCAATAAACATCTGATGCTGAAAATACACGCATTTCATTTCAATCCATTGAACTGTTTCTTTAGATAAACTATGAGAACAAGAGCTTGAACCATGTGCATTATCAGGGAAGTTATGCTGAGCAGTGGAAATACTTTCCACACTCACAGCAACTATTTCTAGTCAAGAAAAATGTACTTCAATGATACAACACATAAGCAGTTCCTGTACTTGGAAAGCCTGAGCTGTCTTGATTCACGATCCAGCAAAAACCTGATTTTTGAAAGGCCCACAAAAAAACCCAAAACAAAACCAAATGAGTCTTAAACTTTTGTTGTTATAAATATAAATAGCCACGGAAAAGTATTTATCTGTCAAGAAAATTCAGTGGATCAGCATCTGTGTTTTTCATAAACCAGGATAAAAAATAAAAAGGCATAATGTGTTGGTTTTTTTTAAAAAAGAAAAGCTCTAAAAATCCATAAGTATGGAAATACTCATTTCAAAATGACACAGTGTTTCATTTTAACATTTTTAATGAGACTTCCATTTGTTGCTAGAATTTGTACTGATATCTGTTTTTTCCCATTGAACATTTGCAACACTTTTAAATTTATTTATTTTTTGACAGGGAAATATTTTGTTATGTAAGTTTTAACTAGATCTGTTATAGCTGTTCCAGTATATTTTGTTTCTCATAGGTCAATTCTTTAAGTAGAAGCACTCTGAAGGGCCATCTTTAGCAATAGATATTGTATAGTCCCATATTACTGGATACTGAACAGCGGTTCTAACCAGGTCTGTGGTAGATGTAAGCTCTGATTGTGATTTCCTACTTTAATTCTTCCTGTGTCTTCAACGGAAAGCAGGCCTTCATTTTGCTGAGAGTTTTACAGATACCAGAAGTAGTTTCTACTACAAAAACCTTCAAGAGGCTTTCAAAAGGCGTACGGGCAAGGAGTAGAATTAATCGAGTATTAATATCCTTATTAAATAGATAAGGAGCCGAGGAACAAAGAAACTGCCGAAAGCTATACTGGCAAGGGAAGAGTTCGGAATTGAACCCGAATGTCCTTATTCTCAGTTCATCACTGTCCCTGCAAGGTTGCTCTTCATTTTGTTCATTTTTTTGCTTAATGACTTGCATTTGGACTTTTAAGTTAATACTAGTTGAAGTATCAAATGTGAAAGGAAATTATTGATGCATACTTCCTCTCCAGTCTGACACAGTTGTCCTAAAAATTCTTTTTTCTCTCCCGAGCCGTTTTGTTTGAATGTAACCATTAATTATGTAATTGCTTTACTACACAGGGAAAGTTTATCCTAGATTAAAAAGAAAATTACTGCATAGAAATATCCTAAACATGCCATACGAGTTCTGGGGGATGTACACACATACCTGTTTAAGCTGTCAATGTTTAGGGATAGCTGTGGGGGTATATAATGGTTTTAAGGGCTCTTGGTAGATGAAACAAATTTCAACATAGAAAAAATCCAATTAAAACATAAAAAGACTGATGGCTTGCTACCTAGAATTCACACAGGTCATTATGAATCCAGCACTTGTGGGCAAAATGATGACACAGAGAATATGGTACCTAACAGTGATTCTTATTAACCCCAGTGTGCCTCCTCTGTTCAAGGTAATCTTTCAAATTTTTTGTCCTTTTTATGAAAAAGAAAAAGGCAGTTTGTCCAAAAAAAGGTACTTAGCTGCTAAAATTACAAATTATAATTGCCGAAGAAAAACATCTGCCTTGGCATCTTAAGGCAAACCCATGAAAAATTTCATACATGTCAAAGGAAAAAAAACCCTTTTTTCAAATGTGCCAGTTTTGGAACGAGTTCTGCAGCAAAATATCCCAGAATCTTAGGGGTACGCCTCATTCTGGTCTACTTGTACAGCTCCAGGTGTAACACACCTCTGGATGCTGACAGGTATCATGCTTACCCAATTACTCAATGACATAGTAATGTAGAAGA